TGTGATGATTAGTTTGGAATTACTGAACTGAACTATTTGTTTCCATCACAACTTGGGATGGCCCCCAAAATGATCGTCGTTATGAAGAGAAATAAATTGCGCATGGTTGTACAACTTTTACTTCTTACAGTAAATGTAAACTGAGGAATTATAGAAATCGTAGGTGTATTTGCCTCACGCCTTATTAATCTCAGTAAAAACCTTTTTTATGCAATAACAACAGTAAGATCTGCATTTCCATTTATCACAGTCGCTGTAACGTCCAACATCATTAGTGCATCTGAGTCTGTCTGCCACCAACCTTTGCATGTAAACTTTGAATTAAAAATCAGTGCAGTGTTTTTGAGAATCAATACAGTATCACAAAACATAATATCGCAGTACTCAAGTGCATTGATATTTTTTCACACACCTTTTGCGGACATCACAATCATGGATACAAGTGGCTGACATGAGCTGTCGTCATATCTGGCAGTGCAGAAGCATCTGACCAGGAAGCTCCCTGAGTGCCTTGATGATGAGATCACATGAAGGACACCCTGAGGAAGACTGAGAATATACTGGAGGGATTACATATTTCATCTGAAAATGGATGGAAGCAAAACAATAAAGGGGCTACTTAGAGTTTCCAATTCACCTGACTCTTTGGAATGTGGTCAAAAAACGGGAGCATTCGGAGAAAACCCACGGTAAGCAAACCCATGTTTGGCCTGCGCTGTTGGTGGCTTCTCCACCTGCACTTGTCTAGGTGTCTGTGCATGTAGGGTTTAGATCAGATATAGCCATATTCTAATGCTGGACAACAATTACCAACAGGGATGTCTTATTAGCATTTTGTGTCTTTCATGTAGTTACATTTGAACCATAATGTAGTGTAATGTTCACATGTTACAGAAGGACATTTGATTTGTTTGCTCACAGTAGAGGAACAGTATTTTGTTCTTGTACTCAAACGTATTAACAGGTGTCTGATCACAGTGTATTTATAGACTTAAAGTTGGCAGTAGAGGAGCTAGATATGCAACAACCTATCTCGTCTTATTCTTCTTTCTATATTGCATTGCCTAAACATCTTGCTGAGAACTCAGCACAGCCAGAGATCTGTGAACTCCACGGTGATCACAGCAGCTACTGCAAAAAGTACTCGACACAGCCAACCACCCTCACATCAAAAGATATACTTGTTAGCTCCTGCGACAGCAGGCTGAAGATGTCATCTTGCCTGGCTATGTTTCTACATCTAGCAGACTATGACACTGTGCCACAGCTCGTCTCATTAGGAGCGATGACAGCACTCACATTTTCTTTGCTCAACATACAACTATGTTCACTGTGTATCAGCTAATGTCAGCAGCTACATCAGTTAATTGGGTCAAATCTATATATCATAATATGCATATCAGATTATGTATCTGTCATACTGGTGTTGGAATATTATAGAAATGTTGAAAGTAACGCTGGATTCATAGTTATTTGTCTACAGGGTCTGAGGTCGTGCCGTAGGCCACAGCGTAGCTGATGTTTGTAACGACATGTCGACAGTGTCAATGGATCCCATGTGGGGACTGAAGGAACTGTGACTGGCTGCTTGTGTTTCCCTACATCAATAGAGCGAGAGATCTCTGTCTGTCTGTGGGTTTCATATCTTAAACTATAAACTATAATCTATAAACTAATAGATATGACTGTACTTTGATGAAATACATCAAACAGTCGGGACGACTGTGGCTCAGAGATAGAGCAGATCGTCCATCAATCAGAGAATCGGCGGTTTGATCCCCGGGTCCTCTAGTCCAGTGGTTCTCAACTGGTCTGGCTGTGGGACCCACCATCACCCCCCGCGACCCAAATCGAGGAACATTTTCAACTTCCCAAATGTATTTAATGTAAAGATGGAGCAGTTTGAACCTGAGCTGAAGATGTCCTCTGCAGTGGTAGTGTAGGAGCTCTCTTGTGCAGAGAAAGTGTTCCTGTAAGTCCCCGTCCCGTCCCTCTGATGCACAACGTGACAGGAAACAAACATTTGCTACCTTGATATAATACAGAACTGTAAAGGGGATATTGCGACCGTCATTTCTGTCTGCAGAGTTACAGATGACGTGTGTTGTCTGAATCTTTTGTCACCAGTTTCTAATCATGTGGCGGATGAATACAATTTCAACAATTTACAAGAAAATATTCAGAATTTGATGAATTTCAAGGAATTTAATGCAATATTTGTTATCAAAGAAAGTGATTTTTAGCATCAAATTCTTCGTTTCCGTCTGTGTGTTCCGCCTCACAGAAATCATAGGGCCCTACAGATGCCGTAGACGAGGCTATCCAAAGACGGTAGGGTCAATAAAGTAGATGTACAGTAGGCTACGCACCCTCCGAGCAATATTACCAAAATGCATAAGGAATCTCAAAGAGGTTTTCATTTTTGGTCGCGCAAAAGTACTGTTACAAGCTTTTTCTCAGTAGGTAATGCTGTAGGCCTAACGTCAGCCAAAGCAGGAAATGGCCTGATCAAATATAACACTTGCAGAAGACCCTCAGATAAAAACCAAGAGCTAGGCTGTAGGTAGGCCTGTCCAAGGAAGACTATGAATCCTGCTTAATTCTTTTAGAATGTTTTCACCATGCTAAATAGATGTCACATCATTGGTTATTAGCTGAAAACGCACAGCCAAGTTTCCCACTTGTTGAAATCCAGAACAAATTGATGGTAACACATGTCATCCAGAGGGAAGACTATCGATCTTTACAGCTTTCCAACACGTTGGCCTGAACCCCAATGAAAAGGCTGGTTGCAACAAAGGATCTAGGTGATAGCGTGAAGTCTAGCACTTCTGCGTACTAATGCTGCCTTCAATGGGGCCGTTTTTAGCATATTAATGCCCCCTTTCTGTGGTATTCTTGGCCTTTAGCAGTGAAGAGTTTCAGAAAGCTCCAAGTCTCTGAGTTGTGACATGACGTTTTTAGAAATGGCAGAAGCCATGGAAGTTTCTTTCCAGTTGATATATGTTATTGTATTGTAATTTTAGTAATTTCATAATTACCATAATTCACTCTCAAAAACTGCAGTCCCAAGTACTAAGAAGCTTTATTTTAAAAGAAACAACGAGCAGACTAAAACTCTTTCATAAACTGAGGACGTGAACGTAATTATGATGTTCTAATATTACATTTCAGACCCGGAAAAGTACAGGTGTAATTAATAACATTGGTCATAACTGCACTCCTTTTGGGTGAGCCTGTTCCAGGACCCATTGTGCATCCTGGTTCACTGTGATGATGACTAACTGTGACACTTAATTCAGACCGTGTCTTTGTTGTCTTCGACATGTTAAATGTCTGCTGGGAAAAAGGCCAGTTGTTGGTGGTCTTCTGAAGCTGCAACTCTGTATGTTATACATTATTGCACAGCTTTCCTCATTTCCTGTTGGCACAAAAATATACAAATTATGTGCTCTTGACAGGTTGTTAAAATAGCCAAATTTGACAATTTGGAAACTATATCTTTGAATTTCATCATTGCTATATTTTCTTTTAATTTCATTATTTCTTAACTGAACATAAAGACACATTAGAAGAACATTAAGTTGTTAACAGACAGATTACACTGAATCAGATATGACCATGCCCGTCACGTTCTCTTTGGTCAGCAGGCATCTTATGTTATCCAGAAGATGTGAATCCTATCTGCCGCATCATATAGTGACATGTGGTTTATGCACCGTCATGCTCTCAAGGCGTACCTGGATCCCTCAGTGCAGAACAAGAGGAGAACCTCTTGATGATGAGCTGACTGTATCTTACAGTAAGTGACATCAATAAGTGGACTCAGTAGCTGCTGCCTCCTGTGAGCCAGTCTACAGCAAATCAACATGTCAGAGATGCTGCTGCATTCACCACTTTATTGCCCGGACAGGAGCGACGGGTCAAGAGAACGCGAGAAGGGGACGATAAGGAGGCAATTGAAGCTTCAGGTTACACTGCTGTTCATGGACACAAACTAAGTCTCATCCGGACTCACAAGCTCCCACAACGTAGACAGAGTTGTGTTACTCCTCTCTACTTCTATTTTCTTCTCTTCTCTCTTTGCTTGTCTTTTGTTCCTCTCCTCCTCTCCTCTCTTCTCTGTGAATAGAATGTTTTGAAAGTCAGAGGAAGGACAGTATGCTGCTCATCTCTGGATGCTGGTTGTGTATTATGTGGAGATGAAACAGGCCTTTTGTCTACATGATTTGTTGTTGCCTCCTTTAACATGAGCTGAAAGTGTGACCAGTTAACATAAGATAAAAGGAAAGTGTGGTGGTGGTGTGTGTGTGTGTGTGTGTGTGTGTGTGTGTGGGGGGCTCTTTAACACGTAATTGCCACACCCATAAGGTGCCATTAGGCTACTCACTTTTAAATACAATGCTATAGTAACGCTCTACATGAAAGCAGGGCAGACAAAGGAAAGTTGAGATCAAACTCTTTCAGTCTCAGTTCGTTTTTCTGTAACTTTATGATTTGGATATTTGTAATTCGCCTTTCTTTTCTTTTTCTTTTGCGTACTACAGATATTTCCAGATATCCTTTTTCTGCACATCTGCGTCTCCCCGTTACAGTAGATCCTCAGAGGGTCCTGTTGCTGTGCCCACCCACAATAGAAAGAGTTCAGGGAGGGACTTTGCCTTTCAACATTTAACCAGTGAGCAGCCTGATCCCGGTGAGACAGAGGGCTTTTCAAAACCTAGAAGAAGCCCAAGCAGACCTGCACCGAGCCGAGGACCGCTCTGTCTCTGATGAACAGTCGGACGAGCTCCGTATGATGGATGGATCTGCTTGTAGTGCGTTGCGCGGATCTTCTGGAGAGCTCTTCACCACTCACACCGCCGGATCAGGTTTTTGTTAGATGTGAGGTGAACTAAGTCCGAGGTGGTTGTTTCCTCTGTTGGTGTGGATGGACAGGTCAGGAGTGCGTGTGCAACACTGTGGCTCCGTTGGATTTATTCACCGCATCCTCCTGGGATTCATGTGCCTCGAGAACCCGTTTCTTCATCGGATGAAATAAAAAGGAGAATGTATGGAATAAACCAGCGCTGTATTTACATGTAAGACGATGGAATAGCTAGCTGTGTTTGTGTGACTGCCACATGATGACTTCTTCATAATAACAACTCTTTATTATTGTTACTTCTGCAGATCATTTCATTTTTTCGTGCTGTGGTGCCATGCTCAGGTAAACGCACTTCAGACTTTCCAATATTAGAAATGCTCGACGAAGTAGAAAAAAGTTAATAACAAAAGTAATAACTATATTCTGAATATTATGGATATCACTCTAATCTAATTGTAGAGAACATTGGATGTATCCAGCCTATTTAGGTGGTTATAAGATTGGCTATAGGCTACTTTTCTTTATCCCAGATTATCAGACTAGAAAGAAAAAAATTATGTATTTCATTTTTCCCTTTACATAAAAAAGGGGGAGAATCACCCGTCTCCTAATTTTAACCAGTATGTGAGGACGCAGGGCGCAGTGACGGACCAGCTCAGCCGCAGGCAGGTCAGGGTTTACCAGCTCTACAGCCGCACCAGCGGGAAACACGTCCAGATCCAGGGCAGAAGGGTCACCGCCACAGCTGAGGATGGAAATATGTTCGGTAAGTGCTGACCCGAGACCCGCTGTTAACCTTGTAGCACGTTTGGCCACGCATATTCTTCTATGGAGTTGTACTCCAGAGAGGGGTTTCTTATTTTAATTCTATTTGGGACTATGACCCCAGATTGTGCCTCATTGAACTGCAGTCACACTGCCAAGTGTCCTACTTTGTGAAAAATGAAAAGGCCTCGATCTTTAAAAACCCCACAGGGCTCAAAAGACCTCAAAAAAAGATATTATAGATGTTTAACCTGTTTCTCAAGTTGCAACTGATCATAATCCAGTGAGCTGGAAATGACACAACACAATCTCACAATCACATAACTCATTATTTTCATGAAAATACAACATATTGGCCAGTAAAATCAACATGCATCAATATAAATGACAGGTTTCTATCATGCAGTGGACGTACTATTATCTCATCCTGATAGTTGGACTACTGACCAATATCGCTGAGTAATCATTTTTCAGAAAATGCGTTAGCTCTTTGACGTGTGTGTAACGGTAGAGGTTCAAATATTTTGTTTTCTAACGTGGCAGTCAGCCCCCCCAGTATGACGAATCTCACTGTCAGCATGTCAAACCTGTTGTCATTCTTTGCTGTTTATGTTTATGTGCTTTTCACACAAACACTAGCTCTTGGGAAACAGAGGTTGTCCTGCTATGAATGGCAAAATATTGAAGAAATTCTTTAGAGGAATCACGGGAGAATCTTGGATGGAAGACAGTATATGGCCCCTGACAGTAGAGCCTCAGAGCCCCTGCTGGGAACCATGTCCTCAGGCACAAGCAGCAGTTTCTCCGGCCTGCTCGCCCCTCCCTCTGTGAGCTGTGTTCAGGCTTCTATGTTAATTCAGCCTCCCTGCTGTATCCATGAAGCCGTCGTCTGGCGAATAAGCGGCTGATTAGGACAAGTCCTTTGTTTCTACAGCCCCAATACACAAGGCTGCTGCAACGCCCAATAGCCATAATTAACTACAGGACAAATTCAATTGAGAATGTATATTCTGCTCTTTACTGGTCCGTGATAACATTTGTTCAATCATTTGTAAGAGGCAACCTGAGCTCTTATTGACTCAACAGCTTCTGGTCAGTTTCAGCTCAACAGAGACATCATCCACTGAAAACAGACAATTCACTTACTAAATTATGATTACAAAGTAAAAGCAAATTCTTCTAGTAACTGGTAACATAATAACCAGCTGACATGCATGTAACACCGACTGCATTGTCTGTATTTCAGGTAATGCCGAGTCAGAAGGATATTTGTTCATATCAAGGGGCTGTATGTTTTGTATGGGATGTTACAAAGAAGCCTTGAAAACACTAAGACATAATTCAAAATGAAGACAAAGAGATGAGTCAGCGGTTGGTGATGTCACTGTGTTTTTGTGTTCTTTGCTTCACAGTGTTTTTCCCCTCCTTGACTTCCTCCTCTCTGTTTTCTGGCAGCTCGTCTCTTTGTTGAGACGGACACATTTGGCAGTCGAGTGAGAATCAGAGGTGCAGAAAGTGGGCGCTACCTCTGCATGAACCGGAAGGGGAAACTTGTTGGAAAGGTACGATATATATACATTTCTGGATTCCTTTTATTTTTAAAACAAGATGACTATTGGCCAGAAACCTTGTATTGATTTTAGATGGCATGGAATTAGTGCCTGGCCAAAATAAAGTAAAAAGCTAATTGAACTTACGGTGGGGGGGTGACCATGGCTCACTGGCTTAAGAGGGTTGTCTGGTAACCGCAGGGTCAACAGTTCGATCCTCAAAATGATTACTCAGCGATATTGGTCAGTAGTCCAACTATCAGGATGAGATAATAGTACGTCCACTGCATGATAGAAACCTGTCATTTATATTGATGCATGTTGATTTTACTGGCCAATATGTTGTATTTTCATGAAAATAATGAGTGTCGTAGTGTCCCTGAGCAAGACACTGAACCCCCGGCTCCCCGGGCGCCTGTCATTGGCAGCCCACTGTCCCCTATATACAGGGATGGGTCAAATGCAGAAGTCAAATTTTGTGTATATGACAATAAAAAGGGTTATAGTATGAAACTATTATGCAGCCAAATTCTAGTTGCAAGCAGGATTTATATCAAGTCATCTTTGCATATTATGGCAAAAATGTAATTCACAAGGTAGCATTTGGCCAACAGATAAAATGTACTTTGAGGGTGTACAAATCTAAAACCTGAATCCATATTTGAGCGTATCAGATCCACATACAACCCCACAATGTAGCTCCTATAAGCTTCAATCCGCTGTCATAGTCTCATAACTTGTCAGTGACCCTGTCATGGTGTGCTGGGAAAAAGGAATTGTCAGAGGGCTGAATGAAAGTCGATCAGTCTTGTTTGGTCTTAAAGTCGACTTTCACTTCCTTCATGGAAATGGAAAAGATGGATTCACATATCTGGCTGACATGACTCGTCATACTATGTGTCATCATGGTTCAGAGGTGTAGACACTGGCTGCTGTAATGTCTGTTAATACATAGAACAAGTACACACTCTGCCCAACAGCTCTTGACTCGGAGAACCTGAGAGACAGTACATGAGTTCATACGACATTACTCCTTTTTCGAAAAACATTTATTTTTTACAAGAACTGACGAGCCCATTAAAGTTCAAAGTTGACAACTTCACAATGCTGACATTTGTAGCTGTGACATTGTCTGTGATAGTTTCCTTTAGATTGAGGTTTGACCTGTCAATCACATACCAGATATCATCTACAGTACACGAAAGACTTCAAGGAGAGAGATGAGCCTGCAATAGCTTTTTACATCTCTGTGATATGTTGATATCATTCATTTATGCATATATTTTTGGGCCTTATTTGTGTTTTGCCAAGAACTATGAGAAGATCGATAGATACCACTATGATGTGTGTAGGGTAAATAAGAAGCTACCACCAGCAGGTGGTTAGCATAGCATAAATCATTTCTAATGGGGGGAAACAACTAGCCTGGTTCTGTCAGAATGTAACAATATTCATCTAACAAATTGTGTTAATAAACAGCACATCTCGTGGTTTTACAGGTAGATTATAAGACAAACTGTTTATGTTAAACTAATGATTCTAAATGCAGCACTTGAAGCAGTTCAGCATATTTGAATAGAATGTGTTAGCGAGTGAGTTTTAGAGATGCTCGTCGACAGATGTTACCTTTGGACAGAGCCAGGCTACCAAGTCAACCGACTGCTTGCTAGCTGTAGCTTCATATTTCATGAACCAAAATAATAGTGTCATCAGCTCTTCAACAAAGCAAATAAGCGACTTCAAATATGTCAAACTATTCCTAAAAAAGAATTTAACTCAAGAAACAGACATTTTTTTAGTTTGTGTTGCAATAACAATGTCCAGACACATATAAAGAACAACAACTTAAAGGGTCCGTTACACTGCAATATCTATCTAAAGTTTGCTAACATTAGCTAACATTAGCCACCATGAGCTACTGGTCATTCAATGTATCCTCATACAACGATTCATATGATATCTTACAAAAAGTCTTTTGCCTTTCAGACGCTGCTCTGGGTCAGTAGGATCCTGGTAGTTGGCTCTCTGCCTGTCAGATGCTACTCTGGGTCAATTGGATCCTTGTAGTTGGTCCTGTACCTGTAAGATGCTGCACTGGGTCAGTAGGATTCCGGTAGTTGGTACTCTGCCTGTCAAACGCTGCTCTGGGTTAAAGGATCCTGGTAGTCAGTCCTGTGCCTGTCAGACGCTGCTCTGGGTCGATAGGATCCTGGTAATTGGCCCTCTACCTGTCAGACGCTGCTCTGGGTCGATAGGATCCTGGTAGTTGGCCCTCTACCTGCACTAATATATTCAAACCTTTCATTATTATCTCAGGTGAATCATGCAAGTGTGTGAAGTGAGTGAGCGCCTCTGTGTCTGTCCACGGCAAATCTTAATTTCTGCTGCAGCAAACTGCATCATATTTTTGGCGTCCAGTTCGGCTGCATGCTCAAGGACCTCTGGTGGTTGCGTGAATCACACTTTCTCAAAACACATTTCAACACTTGTTTGGCTAACAAATCGGTTTGTATAATCCGGTGTTAAATGGAGGGGGAGTAGGTTCCAACCACTTCCTGGCCATCAAGTGTCCTGCATAGATATCTGAGTTGAGGCTGTGATACACATAGAATAATACATTATGGTTCCAGTGTAATATTCACGGTAGTGATTTTAATGAATGAATTTGTTTTTAGTGATGGGCAGAACAAGAATACATTTGAATGATTTGCATTATTCTTTGTTTTAATGGATATTGTACATATTGATTGTGTTGTTGGTGTTTCATTTCATGAGAACTTCCTCCATAAACCCGTGTTTATTGCCTTCAACTTCCACTTGTCATTTGTAACAGAAAGGATGCGTCATTTCCTTTTTCTAAAGGTACAGTCTCACTTCCAGATGGTTTATGATATAGAAACTGTATGAATGGTTGTATCGGTGTGTTATGCAGCCTGTCCAGTTTTAATACCAGAAACCTTTTCTGTCTTCTCACGCAGCCCAACGGCCGGAGCAGGGATTGTATCTTCACAGAGATCGTACTGGAGAACAATTACACCGCCTTCCAGAATGCCAAGTATGAGGGCTGGTATGTGGCTTTCACCAGGAAAGGGAGGCCCATCAAAGCCTCCGGGACGAGGGAGAACCAGAGGGAGGTCCACTTCATCAAGAGGCTGCACACGGGCCCGCCCCCGTTCCCCAACATCGACCAAAGCAAACACTTTGAGTTCATCCGATTTCCGGCCACAGGGCGAGCAAAGCGGAACAGGAAATCACGTACCTCTTCCTAACATGCAGCAAGAACATGGACTGATGACAGTTGTGCTATAGGAAGAAACAGATGCCATTTTATTTTTGTATATTTTTGATAGTCAGAAGATGGTTAAAATTCCATAAATCTAAAGTAATATTGCTGTAAAATGATGATGTGTAAATACTGAACGAGCATAAAGAAGATGGATTATATGTAATGGTGTCTCTGTGTTGGCGGGTGGAGAGGCCCGAGGGACATCAGGACTCGAGTGGTTCGTGAGTTAAGAACCTATCAGATCACTGCTGTGATACGGGCCGGTTCCATTGTTACGGTTAAAAAGCTGCTCAACGGATTCAACATGCGGCACAAACAGTGTACCACAATATACTGATGACACAAGTAAGAAGCATTCTCAACGTTGAGCATCACATCATGCACTGTGCTACGCAGGGTTCCCACTGCTCCGTGATTATCTCACATTAATGCAGCGGGAGACAAAGCGATGCTCAACCCTTTCGGGAAATCTAAGAAGTGAATTAAAAGCAGTTGCCAGGTTCGCTTAGAAGCTGATCGGTCTGCAGCCATAAGTGCAACCTGTCAATCGGTTCTTCAATGTGTGATTCATAACACGGAAGAGTTCAGCGTAGTCAGAGAAGTCTACAGTAGTGCATTTGTGAAAGGCAACAGTTTAGAAAATCATGTCATGTCCAACACATACACAACTTGCATTGTTGTAATAAGCCAGCCTTTGGTCATCAGTTGTTTTCATAATGATGTTCATTTGTCTGTCCCCTGTACAGTATGAGTGCTCTAATATGTTCATGATTATTAAGATAAGTGTTCACCTTATATTTTATGAATGAAATATGATATTTATCCAATGTTGAAAAGGCATAAAATCTTATAAAAGGGACCTTAAGGAAGTTGCAAAAGGCAAATATGGATTTTATTCTTTTATTTTCTATTTTATTTACTTCAGTGTCAAAATATCACCAGAAGATTTGGGATTGTGGGACTCAGGTGAACCTCATGGTGGTGCTGGAGGACCGACTTGAATATCAGAAGATAGAATGAGAAGAATGAGGGCAGGAGGGGGCGAGTCCAAGTCCAGCGTCATCGTTTACAGCGCTGGTGGAGTTCATCCACACGCTGACGCTCCCATCACACATCCGATTAAAGCAATAGATCTATGAGTGGACCCACACAGTGTTATGAACGAAATCGTGCCTTCAGAAAGTTAAGAAGCCTTTTGACTTAAGATAATCTGATCGATTATCAAAGAGAGAGAGCGAGAGTACGGAAAGTTATTATGTCATCAAAGAGGAATGCATGGAGGCAATTCTGTTCAGCTATTGGAAGAGAAATAGAGTTACGTGATGTTTGGGCGATGATCAAAAAGATGAGTGGGAAAAGAAAATCAATTAAAATCCCAGTTTTGATAGACGGAGAATATCGGGCAATTACACATGAGGAGAAAGCTGCGTTACTGGGGAAGAAGTTTGCAAATGTTCATAGCGGAAGTCATTTACATGAGAGGCACAGACAGAGAAAAGAAGACATTTTAGCAGCACATACAGAAGTTACAAAGAAAAAGGTCAATGAAGGAACACCTCTTGATATGGAGTTTACAATACAGGAGCTGAAAACAGCGTTGGAGGGAAGTGGGTAACTGCGCCAGGTCAAGAACATCTATGCTGCGCTATGTTGAGACAATTACCAGAAGAAGCCTTGGAAATTATTGGTAAATTGTTTAATATGATTTGGAGGGAAGGTGTAATGCCAAGCAGCTGGAAGAGTGCTTTGATTCTACCTTTTGGTAAACCTGGTAAAGACCTAATGCTGGCAGTTACAGACCAATAGCACTGCCCTCTACTACCCAACCCTGAGACTCAAAAGACCTCGCAGTGTTCAATAACAATGCAAAGGACTGTGTAAAGAAATGGGAAACTGTCAATAGAACCATCACGCTTCAATGAAACGAAAAGAATAACTGACGTCTCATTTGTGCAAGTGGATGGAAAAGATCATCACGAGCAGATTAACGTATTATATAGAACAAAGGGGCTTGCTAAATAAATCTCAGAATGGCTTTCGTAAAGGTATAGATCGACACTTGACGCATTGATAAAAGTTAGCAACGAGGCAGAGAAAGCAATAAGTATAAGGAGATTCTGGCTATAGTCTATTTTGATATAGAGAAAGCATATGATTCCATGTGGAGAGAGGGCCTATTGATTAAAATGTATAAAATAGGTATTAGTGGAAGGATGTATAACTGGATATTGGATTTTTTGTCTGGACGATCATTCAAGGTAAAAGTTGGAGATGCCGTGTCAGAAGAATTCACTATAGTAAATGGGATCCCTCAAGGTAGTGTTATTAGCCCTATATTATTTAATATTATGATAAATGACGTCTTCATGGACATTGACAGAGATATTGGCTCCTTGCTCTATGCTGATGATGGAGCAATATGGAAAAGGGGAAGAAATATTAGACATGTGATCAGTCAAATTCAAAAGGCTATATTTAATGTTGAGAAGAGGTCGTGTGACTACAATACTCATCTTAAATTATATGGACAAAGTATGGAGAGGGTGACAGAGTTTAAATATTTAGGATCATGGTTTGATGAAAACTGTTTGTGGAGAACTCATATTAAGCAGATTGAAACTAAATGTGCTCAATGTTGTGAGAGTGGTTTCTGGACATCAATGGGGAGCAGATAAACGGTCACTAATGGATATCTATAGGGCTATTATACGAGCATGTATAGATTATGGATGTATGGTGTATGGAGCAGCTGCCAAGAGTACATTACAAACATTAGATATAATTCAGTTCAGAGCTTAACCCCTGTATATAGGAAGCAGTGGGCTGCCAATGACAGGCGCCTGGGGAGCCGGGGTTCAGTGTATTGCTCAGGGACACTACGACATGTGACACGTCCCAGTCGAGGATCGAACCGTTGACCTTGCGGTTGCCGGACAACCCTCTAACCCAGCGAGCCACGGTCGCCCCATTTAACATTCATAGAAGAGAGGAAGAAATGGATGGAAAGAAACTTGTATGACATTGGACATCAGACTCAAGTATACATCAATAATAATTATTATAACTATCTGCAGATATATACAGATAACGGGAATGGACACGTAGGATCAGGGGTAATCATACCAGAATTTAGGGTGACAATATGCAAACGAATTAATGACAGACTGTCTGTCTTTACAGCTGAAATTATTGCAATAATCTTGGGACTGCAATGGGTAGAAGAGGTCCGGCCTGAGAGAGTGGTCATCTGTTCAGATTCTGCTGCAGCTTTAAAGCCTAAAGTCAAAACGAACAATAAGAGAGGATTTAGTGATGGAAATATCTCTGATAATGTTGAGACTTCAAAGACTGGGAATAAATGTTCAATTTAGCTGGTTCCTGCTCATGTAGGTGTGGAGGGCAATGAGAGAGCAGATATGATTGCAAAGAGAGCACTAAAACTAAAAGAAGAGGATATATTGAATATTCCTTTTGGAAAGGGGGAAGCTAAAGCATTAATAAGAGAGGCAGGACGGGAGTTATGACAGAAGAAGTGGGACAACGACAACAAAGGAAGACATTATTATAACATTCAGAAATCCATAAATGTGAAGACATACAAAGGGAAGTATAGAAGAGAGGAGGTCATAATATCAAGGTTAAGATTCGGACACACAGGACTTAACTCAACTCTGTATTTAATGGCAAAAATGGACTCAGATAAGTGCACTGTTTATAATGTTACTGAAGACGTGGCGCATGTTATCCTGAAATGTCAAAGATACAACTCAGACAGGTACATCTTGAAGCAAACAAATGTGTAAATTGGGACAGAAGTGGAGTTTGGAGGGAGTTCTAGCAGCGGACGAAGAATGGCGCGAGTGCTGCAGGGCACTGTTGCGATTTCTTAAAGAAACGGGATTAGACCGTATGATTTAGTTGTTAGTATGTGTTGTTTAGGTTTATTTATTTATTTAGTTATTTATATATATATATATATATATATATTATTTTATTATTTTATTTTATTATCAGAAAAGTGAAGAAAAGTTGACCCTGAAAATGCACACTCCGGTACAGTAGGTGGCGGTATGCACCTATGCAAGTTGGTTGCGATCCGCCAATGGAATTTAAAGAAGAAGAAGAAAGCAAGAGCGCGTGGGGTCATTGGACATTCTGTAGTGGTCTTTGGCGCCCTCCAGTGGTAGCTGGAGCTAATTGAATTCGGATCAGGTGGAGAGTCAGCTGATTCCAGCACAAACAGGAAGAGGAAGTCATATTTCAACAAACTAGTCATGTAAAAATAGCTAACTCATTTGTGCCCTTGTTTTATTTATCAAGAAAAGGCTCCCGACTCAAACGATGTTCGGTGGAGACGATGAAGAGGGGGACTTCCTGTCTCCCACAGGAGGGTGAGTTTGTTTGTTTCCAGCAAGCTAACGCTACTAGCCGGTGAGCTAACTAGCTTAGCACCATTTAGCCATGGCTAGCTGTTCTCGTGTATGAGCCAAATCTCAATTTGACATCTGGCAAATTATTGTGACGTGGTTTGCAACTAATAGCTGTGAGACATTAACCGGAAGCCCAGGCGATTTAAAACAAGTTGTTCTCTTATTCGGTTTACATGTTGCACCAGGAAGTCAATGTGTTTGATTTATTTTAGTTGTATGGTTCATTATTCTTCCACCAAAATACCAGTTCATAAATTATATGAATGAAGTTCTTTCAGAAGAACACATGTTTTCCGAATGTTCCTGCTGGTTTAAACACAGATATGCTGTATATCTATATATCTATATCTATATACCTATATCTATATCAGACTGTATGCTGCATTGGAGAGTGGAATACTGCAGGTTAGGGTTAGTTCGCTCACTTCATGGCTGTTTGTACCATGTGAGTTAGCAGCTAACGGTACAAAGTGTTTTCATCCTGCGGAGAGTTCTAAAGATCACATCTGTACCAAACTAACAACATTACTCACACAAGGGCGAGTTATTCTGGACACCGTGTCTGATGATGATCTCATGCCTTCATGTGTCCTCTGACGTGTCCTCTGACCTGTCCTCTGTCTGTGCAGCCAGGTCCTCTGTCAGTAGATGAGACAGAAGCTCCTCATGCTGTGAGTGAATGTTGGGACCTACTAAAGGTCACTCTGTGGTCACTCTGAAGGTCACTCTGAGGTCACTCTGTGGTCTGTTAAGGTTTTACATTCAGGTCTGATGAACCAAACCTGTTGTCAAATGCAGGGTTTTAGATCTCGCTCAAAGATAGTCGATTAGAAAGGATGAAGATAATGTGTTTACATGTGTAGGTTATGTAATTTTAAATGGATGTTTCAGGAACAAGCAGCCAGTGTAGGCATGCTCTGGGGGAGGAGTGCTTATGGCAGCTAATTCCTATCACATGCTGCCTGTTAGAGGAGCAAGGCGAAGCCCAGCTCTGCTCAGCCGGGACCCAGCACCCAGTCTGCTCCTCGCTTTCTTCCTCTGCTGTGCTGTTGAATCTACCACGAAGGTGTGAGTGCACAGGGGGCTGAGAAGTCAGGGATAGCCCGGTACCGGAGGGCTGGAACCTCCAATAGAAGGAGTTTGACTCACACATGCAGACGGACTGCCCCTCTCTCATCCCAGCTCCTTACCGTGGGAGATGAGAGCCTCGAGGCTTCCAACATGTCTGCTTTGGAAGATACCAGTGACTACCAGTGGAAGGAGTTCCAGGGGTCAGTACAAGTCAGCTGGGCAGTTCTCCAACGCTCGTCTTCTTTCAATGGCACAGAAAGTCTGCAGAGGTTTTGATCCAGCCGCCCCGGTTCGGTCCCTGAGATCTGTGCCTCTGATGGAGGCAGTAGCTCTATCTATGTCGCAGTCTGTAGTTATGTGGTCCAGATATAGTGGCTTCCTTACTACAGTTGTTGTTGTCGTCAGAAAATGAATGGCCATCAATCTTTTTTTAATGTTTCATCAAGTGTTTGACACTTTTAAACCAGAATTGTCAAATGTTTGCTGGTTCTGGTTGGTCAGACGTGAGGATGAGCTGCCTCTCTCTGTTTGATATTGGAGCCTAACCCTGAAAGCATTGAGGACGACGTGGGAGTCAGTAGTTTGACCATGAATGTAGCTCCCCGATGCAGAGCAAGCTTCATCTGCTGAGGGGAAAGTTAAATGTTCAGAGCTGTTGAGGTGAGGCCGGTAACCCCTGAGACGGAGAGGAGAGGCTTGCAGGGCTGCGTCACACGCCGTCTCTTGTATCTGAGGCCATCTGTAGCCACAGAGCGGGTCAGACATTTCCTGGCAATAACCATATGAAGATGATCTTCACACCTGTTCTCCTTGCAGGGCCAAGTTGGCCTCCCTGTTTGGACTAGACCAGCAAGGCAGTCAGGGGAACGAGTCCTTCCAGTACACGGCACCGAAGCAGCCCAGAAAGAGCTCCAATGCAGGTGAGACCATCGGCGACGTCGGTGACTCCAGATTCAGCCGTGACGTGGAGGCTCAACTGAAACGTGTCTTTTGTTTGTTTGCAGCACCAGCCGCCCAGAAACCAGTTCCAGCACCTGCAGCTCCTGCAGTGCTGTTTGCCACAGCAGTCCAAGCCTTCAGATAGTGAGGAGACTCGTCTTCTCATGTTTGAAGCATTTCAATGTAGCTTGAAAGCTTCTCATGTGTTTTGTAAATGTAAAACATGTGCGGGCTGCAAACGTTCAATCCCCACAAGAATTGTTTTGCAACACTTATAAACTGTAACTATACAATGGATCTCCATATAAACTGCATCATTAATGACGGCTCTCTTCTTGTACCAAGTGAGTTGAGACCCTTTCTGCCACTCTTGTCCCATGTGCAGTATTAACGGACAGTATGTGAAGCAGGGGAAGCTGGGAGCAGCCGTACTGGGCAACCACACAACTAAAGAGGTCGGAGGTTTGCTAATTGGTCACTTGTTTGAGATTATTGGTGTGACTTTTGATTGTTATGAATAATGCACCTCTTGTCTTCTGCAGTACAAGCTGCTTCTGTACTTGAGCCAACAGAAACAAGTGACCGCTGCCAAGATTCCTGCGGGCTTTGTGTTCACGGTGAGTGGAGACGTAAAGAACGTTGGACATGTATACGGACAGATGATGTGATGCATTAGAGGAATATCACACGTCACACTTTTCCAACAACGTATGGAACAACTTTTGAATCTTTTCTGGGTCTGAAAATGTTTCCGAACTGATACAAAGTCCAACGCTTGATCACAAACTCTTTAAGTATTTTAAGATTCTTTGAGATAATGTTATTTATCTGATAGTTGGATTAACTATCCAACTATCCACTACTATAGTGACACTATAGTAGTGTACAACTATAGTGTCACTATAGTAGTACACTACTATAGTGACACTATAGTAGTGTACTACTATAGTGTCACTATAGTGACACTATAGTGACACTACAGTAGTGTACTACTATAGTAGTACACTACTGTAGTGTCACTATAGTACTTATAGATTTTAGTACTCAATGAGCCGAGAGCCATCAGAGGAGTAAAGGATGACTAAAGGAATTCAATGATGGGCAAAATGTGCGACCTGGCCGATGGCATGGTTCTGCCAGACGGGTCCATTGAGTACTAAAATCATTGCAGATGTTTGACTCCAATAGTGTACTACTGCTGATGAGAAATTATGCAGAAATGAAGAGATAAAATAAAAATGATCACGTGTTGTTTCTCTCCTGCAGGTCCAGCCAAACAATTACTGCACGTTCTATGATGAGCAGAGGCAGAACTGGTCCCTGATGTTTGAGTCAGACAAGGCTCTCTGGGACTTCTGCAGAGAGGTGAGTTGATCACGATGGATCTGCAGCACCCTTGTATTATTCTTGCCTACATTACATGCATGCTTTGGTTCTGTTGTTTATTAGACATTGACTTCTTTTATGTGCATCAGGTGTGTCTGGCGAAAGTGAACAGCGAAGTGTCCTTAGATGCTGTGGTGGTTCAGGATCTGAGTCTGGGTGAGGGCCAGGCGGTGGAGAATGGAGACTCGTTGGAGGTGGTGTACACAGGCTGGCTCCTGCAGAACCACGCCATCGGCCAGGTCGCACACTTTGCCCATCATTGAATTCCTTTAGTCATGTTGTCTCCACTTCCTGTGGCTTTGACTCCTCTGATGGCTCTCGGCTCATTGAGTACTAAAATCATTGCAGATGTTTGACTCCAACCAGAACAAGGACAAGTTTCTACGACTGAAGGTTGGAGCTGGAAAAGTGATTAAAGTGAGTCCAAGTTCAGTCCCCATGACACAACACCTGCTCATGCTGTCACATGGTCTGCTCCTCTTTATTACTGTATATCTATTTGATCTCTGTATCTCGTGATCTGCTCTGGGTTCCTTTACGTTTCACAAGTTTTGCATGATGTTTGTTCATAAAACTATCTGTACAGATCGTACTTTAGCAGCAGATTGCTTTTAGATGTTTCCGAACATAATCTGGTTCAGTATCATGTGTCATTGGGCTTAGCTTTAAATGGCCAGCCTGAGCTGACTGCATCATGTTCATCATCATCATCATATGACATCATTATACATTACTGTCCATACATGATTATTTCATTGTCTGTGTCTGAGCAGGGCTGGGAGGAAGGGATGCTTGGGTTGAAGAAGGCCGGCCGGCGTCTCATCGTCATCCCACCCAGCCAGGCCTACGGGTCCAAGGGAGTCCCCAACCGCGTCCCCCCAAACAGCACTCTTGTTTTTGAAACGGAGCTTCGACGGGTAACAACCATCTGCTCTCGTATTTGGCCTTTTCTAATATACCTGCTCGTTCTAACGGCACACGCATATTCCATTGCACCTTCTGGTGGGACCTCTTTACTGCTCGTTGCTTGTAATGTTTGTGAAGTAAGCTGAAGCCTTTTCTGATTTTCTTTTTTGTGCCTTAGGTGAAGTTTGCCAAGGGCAACGGCTCCGTTAGCGGCAGTGCCAGCTCCAGAGACTCTGCCGCTTCCTCCCCCGTTCCTTCCCCAGCCCCCAGTGTGGAGAACCTGGCCTCAGAGCCCCCAGTACAGACAAGCGCCTCTGGTCCCGGCAGACCAGGGTGAGATTTAAACCTCGGGGAATAGTTGACGGCATCATCTTGAACTTGTTTGTCACTTAAGATGATCTGTTTCCGGCCTTTTGTGTTTGTTGCAGCGAGCCACCACTTCGTGCGAAGTCAAACTCGCTCAGTGAGCAGCTGGCAGTAAGGACCCGCACGGCTTATCAACAACTTAATATGACATTCATTCTGTTCAGTTATTGTGCAGCTGTATTCATGGAAGCTTTTTTCTTTCAAACCTCAGAACCCAGATGCCACAAAGGCCAAGCTGATCTCTCGCATGGCAAAGATGGGCCAGCCCATGTTGCCCTTTCTGACCGGAGGGTCCAGCCAGCCGGAGTCCAGTGATTCTGAGCTTGAGGTGGGTCTGCAGCTTCTACGGTCCACTTTAAAGAATACGTCTCGCAATATTCTACATTATGTTCTCGAGTTGTCCGTCTTATTCTTGTGAGGACGATATCTGAGGGACGCCCTGAGGGATGGTCTTCAGATGTCTCCTTGGACTCCAGGATTATGATAACAGTTTTACACAAATGACTAATAGCATTATCAAGTGATGGCATGTTGAGGAAAACAACCTCAAGGTGGTAATTCTAGTTCTTATCGTCAACAAACTCCATAAATAGACCAACAACTGATGGATCTACTATACAGTGTTGTGTGTGTATCACAGCCTGTCTCTTCTTCCTCAGTGAGCCTCATCACCATGAACACACACACACACACACACACACACACACACACACTAGTTTACACACACCGTCCTGCTGCCACAAATACTCACTAGAGCACCATTTGTGGATTAATCCGCCGCTGAAAATAGTCCCTAACAAATGCACTCTTTCCTGCTCTTTGAGTAGCATCTGATTAAAGACTAGAGTGACCAGCTATTTAGGAATATTGTAACCTTATTATGAGAAATAAATTACAAATCTGTTAGAAAACATACGTGTTGAAGGACTTTAGACGGGGTAGAGAAGTCCCAAAGACTAACATTGTTGCTTTTGAGGAACTTTTAACTGGTTATGAATACTAATGCCTCTATATGACCGTCATAAGGTAGCGAGACCATCAGAGAGAAGATGGTCTATTTCTATATCGACTTATTCTTATGCTCGTCATCGTTGCCTCCGGGTACACGGCAGCAGCGTCTCCTACTCCGCCGGCACCGCGCTGCTGCAGACCCAGGCCGTGTTGTTGAGCTCGCTGGAGGGAAGGGAGGCACGGGAGAGCCAGGACTGACTGGAGCAGCCTGTCAGACACCTGCGGTAGTCAAATAAGAGCTTTTCTAAAGCGACTGGTGCTCGGAAACATTACCGCTTTCGACCACAGTGAGTCGCAAAATCAACACAAAATGAACGTTCTTGTAGTAACTTTACTGGGATTTGTTGACGATAAGAAAAATAATAAATAGAAATATGAAAGCCAGCTGCCTCCATCTGCACAAAAGCTCAAAGATAAAATAATATTAGAGTTTGATTAGAAAACCACAATAGAAGCTTTTGAAGTGACGTGCGGTACAGACCTGTCGGGTCAAGGAGGAGCTTCATCAAGCCTGCTCTTACCTTCAATCTGTCTCGCAAATCCCCTGATTTCATGGGAATGCAATACAAAACATCTGAGTGCCCCTAAAAATGGCTGTCTGCCAGATGTGGTGTCATGACTGACTTGGTGCCACTATTGGGTTGATCTGCAGGACACCGGTGGCAGCAGAGCAAAGGACCGGCCTGCAGCTCTGTCTCCGGTGCAGATGTCCTCTGCTGCTCCAGCCTCAGCACATGGTAAACTTCTTCCACTTGTTCGTATGTGCATTCCTCCTCCAGCAGCTCTAGAGTACAGAGAACACAGTATGTTTTACTATTTCTTGGTAAATTCCTTTATTCCTTTATGTATTTTCCTGCAGTACATCCTCATCCTCACACTGCTCCGTCTGCTGCCTTACTTCCTGTTATGACGACGGCTGCCCCACAGCCTGGGCTGTCGGGCAGCAGCCATGCCTTTCAGGTGAGATTATATCCACATTTTGTACTGACTCATCATCAGTAAGTACATCATGGACACATGTGTTAACAGCAGTGCATGGTGTTGTTTCACAGCCTTACTCCTACACTCAGAGCTCTCAGCTGCAGCCTGTTGGCCAGGTCTACCCTGCACAAACCATCCCATACATGGGTAAGAAACAACGCTCAACTCCGTTACAAGAAGCCATGATGATCAGTGGAGCGTTGATGTCGAGGGTTGTACGGAGTGACATTTAAAATGTAGTGCAGTTTGTCAGTAAAGCTGTGCACTTGAGCAATACATGATTCAGCTGTGAGAGCGTTTTGAGTTTGATTTAAATGCTGAAACCCTTTGACTGTGTGCTTCTCAGGCTCCAGTGATGTGACGTCCTTCTTGATGACTGAGGCCCGACAACACAACACAGAGATCCGGTTAGCGGTCGGAAAAGCAGCAGATAAAGTTGATCAACTAGCCTCAAAGGTACAAACTCTCTGTACGATAATGTGTTGACTGAGAGGCTCTAGAGCAGTGTTTTTCAACCTTTTCTGAGCGGAGGCACATTTTTTACATTAAAAAGATCCCGCGGCACACCAACAAACAAAAACGTTACAAAATGACACCTTTTAGCATAATACAGCAGATATGCAGAGGTGTCAAACTCAATCACAGGGAGGGACAAAACTAAACATTGTGACTACGTTGAGGGCCAAATAGAGTCACCATATAATAAACAGGACAGAAGGGATATTGGACAAAGTGCAAAAAGAATACATGTTGAGGTATGCTACATTATATGTGTGTATTATTATACACACATGTGTGTGATCACAGACATGTCTGTGATCACACACATGTGTGTGATCACAGACATGTCTGTGATCACACACATGTCTGTGATCACAGACATGTATGATCACACGTGTCTGTGATCATACGTTCCCGTCCCTGAAGCTGGAGGTTTAGCGCAGTGAGATGCTTCGTTATGTGCGGGACAGTTACGATAAACATATGATATTTTCTGGCAGGCTGGATATATGCTGACAACTATCTAAATGTGTTGATCCTTATAGGCTTTTCATCTGGGTTATGTTGTCCAGGGCCCAGTTCAGAGTCTACATTTTTCCTTTTCAAATATTTCTCCATCGCTGTTCGTCTTGTCACCGCAACATCTCCCGCGCGTCATTTCATTCTACTGTCCTAAATGAACAAGGTCATTACTGCGCTACCTACTGTCACCCACTGGCATGGAAGAGCATGTATTACTTAGCCAGACACGATATTGCAGCTCAGACGCTCAACAACTAAATCATATTTTTTTTTTTAGACTCATTAAGTGAAATTGGACATTTTCCCACAGCACACCTGACGATCTCTCACGGCACACTGGTTGAAAATCACTGCTTTAGAGGACCAGTGTGTAGGATTTAGTGGCACCTGGTGGTGAACTCCCACACCTCCCCTTCCAAGAACCTACGCTGGCTAATGGATCCCCCCCCAAATCCTCCACACTGGTCCTAATAGAAAAGAGATGCATGTGGTTCTTGTCTTTTGTTTTACTTGAAAAGATAGATGACCTTCAGAGGCAGGGGAGTCTCTCCATGGGTGTTCCTAGTATGTCGATGGAAACCTCCATGATCATGCACAACATCCAGAGAATCATCCAGGTACGGTGCATGTCTTTCCTCAGCTCCATTTACAACACAAAGACCGTTTCTCTTAGCACATCTGTCGGTGTACTGGGATCATATCGTGTTCTAAAAACTCTTGTTTTATTTTAGGAAAATGAATGTTTAAAAAAGGAAGTCTTTGAGAAAAGCTCTCGCATTGAGGAGCAGAACCATAAGATTGGGGAGCTCATCAACCAGAACCAGAGGTGAGTCAGAAAGTGTCCAACAGTTCTGTCTGACAGCCGGCCAGACGATCGCGTCCTACCACGAGTTCATCTAGAGATGGACCTATGATAATGTGCAGCTCTTCTGTTTAAGCTCAATCATGTGACTTGAGTTATTATTTAGTTTTGTTTCACACAGCTGTCAGGATAGAATAAGGATCAATCTCCAACATGCTGTTTTATATGATCTTTATGAGACGATGTCACATCTTTGTAGTCACATCTTTGTAGTCCCATCATACTTCAGTGTGGAAGTAAAATGAGTGAATTAAAATGACAATGTAACTGGTAAGAATAATAAATAATGTATGAACTTAACGATGTGTATGGGCCTCTATCTGCTCTCACACATGACTATTTCTACATGACTGAGTCGTCCATATCTCCTTCTCACTGATGAAGTATCACAAAGTGCTGTTGCTGTATCTGAGGTGGATGTAACATGATTGTGCTGTGGTGGTCTAGGTACGTGGAGCAGAGTAACCTGCTGCTGGAACAGAGGAACGACTCCCTCAAGTCATCCAGTGAACAGCACCAGGCCAGATTACTGCAGGCTGAGCTGGACAAGGTGAGGACGCGTCTTCACTGGGGAAAAGGGCAACACCTGAGACTGCTCCAAGTTCTCATGCTGTGCTGACAGACTACACTGTTAGTCAGTAGATAGTGGTTTATTATGGAGCTAAACCATCGCATGCACTACAGTATTGACATACCTTTTTGATCTGAGCCTGAAATGCAGCACAGCTGGCCTGGGTAGGGTTAGAGGTAGGGTTAGAGGTAGGGGTAGAGTTAGGGTTAGGGTTAGAGGAAGGGTTAGAGGTTGGGTTAGAGGTTGGGTTAGAGGTAGAGGAAGGGTTAGGGGTAGAGGTAGGGTTAGAGGTAGAGGTAGAGGAAGGGTTAGGGGTAGAGGTAGGGTTAGAGGTAGAGGTAGAGGAAGGGTTAGAGGTAGAGGTAGAGGTAGGGGTAGGGGTAGGGTTAGGGGTAGGGTTAGGGTTAGAGGAAGGGTTAGAGGAAGGGTTAGAGGAAGGGTTAGAGGAAGGGTTAGAGGTTGGGGTAGAGGTAGGGTTAGAGGTTGGGGTAGAGGTAGGGTTAGAGGTAGGGTTAGAGGTAGGGTTAGGGTTAGGGTTAGAGGTTGGGTTAGAGGTTGGGTTAGAGGTAGAGGAAGGGTTAGGGGTAGAGGTAGGGGTAGAGGTAGAGGAAGGGTTAGAGGTAGGGTTAGAGGTAGAGGTAGGGTTAGAGGTAGAGGTAGGGGTAGGGGTAGGGTTAGGGTTAGGGGTAGGGTTAGAGGTGGGGTTAGGGGTAGGGTTAGAGGTGGGGGTAGGGTTAGAGGTAGGGGTAGGGTTAGAGGTAGGGTTAGAGGTAGGGGTAGGGTTAGGGGTAGGGTTAGAGGTAGTTTAGGAATGGTGTCTGTGGTGTGACGTTTGTCCAGCAGAGAGCACTGAAGTGTAAAATGTCCTGCTCAGTACTTTTCCTCTTGAATAACCAAATTTAAGGCATCTTTATGGAGAAAAAAAAGTTTGATACATATTTATGGAAATGTTTTCTAAATATTACGTTCCAGTCATTTAGCAGACACTTTGATCCAAAGTGACTTACAATCCAGATGTTATCACACCGTAGGCTCAGCTACAGGAGACATTGTTGGGGTTAAATGTCTTGCTCAAGGACACATCGACGTGTGACTAGTGGAACCGGGGACCGAACCACCGACCCTCTGATAGGACGGCCCTGCTCTCCACTTAGCCACAGTCGCTCATATGTCTCTCTATATAACTATGTATTCATTTATATAGAGTTCTGTTAAAGGTGTAAATTGTCTTGTAAAAGAAACCACATTTATTCACTATTGTACCATATGTACGTTCACTATATACACGGGACTCAAATGACAAATCAAACAAGGAAAGGTGCTACAATCTTTACATCACATGTGTCTGTAACTGGTTTTAAATTGTTTTTACATGATTTTGGTGAAAACTGAATCTCAAATGTGTGTGAATTTGTAAGATAGACTGAAGGATCAGAAGTTCCTCTGTGGATTGAGACCGTTCTCTTGAGTGAACTCTTACTACCCATTGGACAATCAGAAGCACTATCTAGTCTCAAAGCTGAGAACAGATGGTTTCATCACCTCATTAAATGATTTTTTGCAGGACAGTGACATTTGGCAGAATGACTTTGCAACACAAAGTGATCAGTAATGTGCTTTGTACTGTTGCAGAGATAAGTGGTACATTGTGAATAGTAATGTAAAGAGTACGTACGTCATTATCTTCTGTTCTACGCCATGTGAATTTCACTTGAGTAATACACTTAGTATGTATTAAATGGTTTTCTGTCTGTTACCTGTCACACATCTGATGCTAAATATAAGGAGTTCACTCTCTGCCTGCTTGTTTGCGCTGCAGTGCTGCTCTGAGAACAATCCAGCATTTACTGCTCTCTCTCCTCAGCATGCTCTGCCTCAGGACCTGGGCTCCGGCCAGGTGAGCCTGTTTTCTCTGTGTAGCGCTACCAGACCGGGTCAAACAGTATCTGCAAGAGAAGAAGGAAACGACAAAGTCAAATTGTGTAAGCGCTCCAAATCAACCTGGAAAACAAAGCAAAGACGTCTCCTCAGTTTGTCATTAACAGTTCCCATGTAGAGAGCACAACAGAAGCATGTCCACGTCACAGGACAGTAGTGAGTTTACACACTCTCTGCAAACGATTTCAAATTCACTCTGGATGCAACATCTGACAATCCTCTTCCAAACGTGCTCAAAGTGTGACGCCTCCTGTGGAACTACTGTTTGACCCAGATCTGACCGCTGCCGCTGGAATCATCCTCCTCATGTCACACTTCAAAGACATTTGAACTAACTTTCCTTCTTCTCTTTCCATCAGCCATCACTCACCATCTTCCTCCCACAGGGTCGCGCTGCTCACACCACTAGCACCAGTAGCCATTCATCTCGGCTGTCCTTCTGTTGTTCCACTGTCTCTGTGTGGCCGGGGTTTTCCTTCACTGCAGACACTGGTACATCACCCCTCCCCCTGTCGTCCTGCTTCTCCATCAGGTCCGTCTGACGGAGGATTTGGCTTCGTCCGCGGCCCAGCTGTCTCAGCTGCAGCTAGAAGCTACAGCTCACCAGCAGAAGGCCTCGGTGCTGCAGAGTGAACTGAGCTCAGCGCTGCATGACAGTGAGAGGCACTGCCAACGCATCGCTGCCCTGGAAACCCAGCTGGGAGGTTAGTGTTGATGGAGAGTCCTGCAGCACGTCTTGCCATCATGAAAGGTCATAACATAACAACAGGCGCTAAATGGACTGTACTTGTATAGTTCTCTTCTAGTCTTCCGACCACTCGCAGCGCTACAACACTAGATCTCATCATTCATGTTGCTTTGTTAGCAGATCCAGATACATTTTGAAGAACTAAAAATTCCATAGAAGACAAAAGAAATGCTGAAAATACAGTTACTGACTAACTGAGCAGAGGCCATGTTGGTCCACGATAACTGTAAAGAACGCTGCTTTATATGTTCCAGAGCTGAAGGAGGCAGCAGAGAGGACTCAGGCTCAGTACCGCTCAGAGAAGCAAAGACGCAAAGAGATGGAGCTGAGAGTTGGCAACATGGAGGAGGAACTGCAGGACCTAAAGACTGATAAAGAGAGCCTAGAACGAGTACGTATGCATCATGTTCTGGTCCTTCTGTCAGTGACCTTGGGTCTCCCCAGAGGGCAGCCACTTCACATCAGTGCACAGAAGACCACATGGTGACAAGGATGATATGTTTAAGAACTGTTCAGATCAAGAAAGAATTCACGCAGGAGTTTTTGAAATGTGAAAGACTTGTTGTGTAAATGTTGACTAACGGATGGTTCCCCTTCCTTTAAGACATTCTCAGAGAGGAAGAACAAGTGGCAGGCTGAGCGTCAGCGTCGGGATGAGGAGGTGGAGGAGCTCCGTAAAAGCAGCCAGCAGGAGGTGGACAATCTTCGAGCTCAACTCCGCAATGCCAGGACCAGCACCGACAACGCTGCATCTGAACAGGTTGCGTCCAATGACAGGGCTCTACTGTAGGAATGTGAAGGGTAACGGGATGGGTTCATAACGTCTCTCTGATTTCCTCAATTAGTTCTGGATCAGGTAAAGTTATAGTGAGGAACCTTTAACTAAAGTATAAAACCAATGCCTCTATATGACCTCCGTCATCAAAGAGACCATCAGAGAGAAGATGGTCTGTTTCTATAGAGTTACTCTTAATGCTCGCCATCGGAGCCACCGGGTCGGATTCTGGTGAAATCAGATGAACTCATGCAGGTTCACCAGAAACTCCTTCAGCTCAGACTCCAGCAGAGACCGGTCCACCGTGAACAGACCCAGATCCTCCAGCAGAGACCGGGTTCTTTCTGAAAGCTTTACTAAAGCCCGTTCTATGGAAGTGTTTACCTCAGTGGCTACATTGTGGACATGGCTTCACTAACGTATACCTTGTATGTGTCACAGTTGTCTCAGCTGCAGGCGGAGCGGGAGGACGAGTGGAAGGGGAAGTGTGAGCAGATGTTGGCCTCTGCTAAAGAGCAGCACAGTCGAGAGCTGGCTGAGCTAACGGAGCACAGAGATGCTCTGCAGGACAAGCTAACGCAGCTACAGGAGAAGGTAGACAAGCTAGCCACGGTAAAACACGAACATGAGCAATATCATCCGTTTGTCTCATTGGCTGTTGACTTAATGAGGAAGTCCAACTCTGTACATGATGGTAACTTTATTAGACTACAGATGACATTATGGGAGATGTAGGTCCAGCAGCTTTGTGATGCTGGAGTAACCCGTTTAATCATAATGTGATTCCTCTAGTGTGATTGTTGTATCTTTTCATCACAATACAGAGCAGATTTACTACATTCATGTTTTATGTTCATTACATCGGCTTCAACAAATGAAGGAGTAATATGTTCCTCATCATTTGAATGACTGTTGTTGGGTCACATGAAGGATTTATTTATACATGTACCAAAAACTCAAAGGCTCAAATAGCTGCTGCCAAAGAAAACAAATCCATAAAGTACCTTTGGTTTGTTTACTTAGATTCACCATAATGTGAAAGAAGAAACAGTTGTTTGTACAGTATTATGTAATGTGAATATATGAGTTGTGATTGCCTTATGTACGGCCTCTCTCACTCAACAGTTCACGGTTCTGAAGCAGTCCAGAGATTCAGAAGAACAGGCTTTGCTACAACACGGCAGGGAGACTGAGGAGCTGCAGGTCCTTCAGGAGAAAGTAAGTCGTCAGTCAGCCGGTGCTTCTAATTAGATCAAACGGTCGTCATTGGCAGGGAATGTCCACAACTAATTTGTTCATTACTATCACCCCCCTCCCTCCACACACACACACACACACACACACACACACACGCACACACACACCCCGTCACTGCATGTTGTTCTCTTTAAGTGCACAGCCTTGGAGCAGCAAGGACTAGCTGTAAGGGAGGAACTGGAGAGAAGAGTGGCTGAACTGGAGAAGAAGCTGGCAGAGGAGGAGAGCTCAGGAGACACTTCAGCAGAGGTGAGGAGTCATCCATGAACACTCACACACACACGTAAACCAGTCCATGTTGAACCAGCACCTTTATGATCCAGTCAGAACTCAATCTGAATAGGATTCTAATGTTACGGATGTGATGATGTAATGAATAGAGTGTGATAGTGCTCATCATCTCTGTGTGTACCTGCAGGTGAAGCGTGTGATGAACGGTGTTTTTCACTCCCTGCGGGGGGAGTTTGACCTCGGGGAGTCTTACAGTGGCCAGGCTGTGCTGGGGGTGATCGTCACGACTATTAAGGTGAGTGTCTTTACACAGAAACAAGGTTCTGGATCGCACCCCCCACAGATCCAAACAGGGAGTGGAGGCACAAACGTCCAGCTCATCATCCTCTTATCTATCCATCTCAAGGGCTTTCATCAGTGGACCAGCACCACATAGGGACTCATTGATTTCAATGAAAATCTTCAAGATGATTACATTAAGAAAAAGACTTAGAACCAGTGAGCTTTAGGGAGAGACTGAGAAGAGTTCTCCTGCCTGAGAAGAACCGTAAGGAGTAAGAGGATCAGTGAAACAGGCAGGACCTGACTCCTCCAAGCTCTAACAACCAGCTGCTCTAGAAGGCACAGGTCACCAGAGAAGAGATGCTGTGGTCACTTCTCAGGGTGTGTAGAAGCCTGGCAGCAGTAATACCCAGCTACTGTATACACACACACACACACACACATGTCATTGTATTCACTATAATAGAGGCGGATGATACTTACTGTCTGATATTTATATAACACACTAGTGCCATGCATATGTGTTGTTGACCTGTCCTCATGATATTTCTCTTCCAGAATGTAACCATGCAGCTTCTGGGGGGCACAGACAGAGCTCCACTGAGACCGAGTAAGGACGAAGAGGAGGAAGAGGAAGAAGAGGAGGAAGGAAGTGATGACGTGAAACAAAGACAGCAGACTGTACAGAATGTACATGTGAATGGTGACCGAGAAGTCGGAGAGGAAAAAGATTATGAGGCTGATTCAGACTCTCACAAAGTCGGTGAGACCCAGATGGATCAGGAAGTAGCAGCAGACGAGGAGACAGAGATGGAGTCAAAGACACAAAGTCAGACTGAAGCAGTAGAGGCCACTGAACCGAAACCCACACAGACAGCAGATTGTGAAGTGCAGCAGGAGACGGCAGGACACTCTGTTCCTGAGATCTCTCCAGAGGAAAAGCACAGCGATCAGTCTGTAGATCTCGATGAGGAACCTGATGAGAGTCCACCGCCTGAGGACGGACAGGAAGCTGTGTCAGGAAGGAATGGAGAAGAAATGCATGGGGCTTCTCAGGAAGCCTTTGGACCCCCAGCCAACCCACCTCCACCACCAAGCAGCTCAAGAGAGGACACAAGGTGAGTCCTGGCATCACCGCTTGCGATGTCATCATACCTGGCCAGCAACGGTGTCTGTCAGTGACGTCTCATAAAGGCAACAGGAGCCGTCTCCGTGCTGCAGTGTGCTCCATCTCCTACGGTCTACGGCCGTATTCATGGCCCTACTTCCACATAGGAGGTTTGATGTTGTTCATGGGGGAGGGGTCTATAGTCTTCTTCTTTAAGAGTGGCTGAATAACAGCTGACCTGACCCGCTAGATGGTTTGTTTCACAGAACCATCTGAGAAGATGTCATTTGAAACTGTTTGCTTTTAAAGAATAGTTGGCAGGTGATTTGATAAAACATCTGTCAATCAAACTCTTACCAAAGCGAGTCAGGAGAAGAGCGATCACATGTTGTCCATGGAGAAAAGCCTTCAGTGTCGTCTTGCTCTTCTTTCAATGAA